CCCCCCCGGATCCTCATTCTCATTCTACAATAATGGTTTTATACAATATTTGTCCTTGTGGGACTGAGTTCGTTCACTCACCATAATGCTCTCCAGTCCCTCTCAAGTTAGGTAATAATTTACAAAATCATTTTTTCTGTGTGCTGCATAGTATTCCATTGTATGAATGTACTATAACTTCTCAATCCATTCATTTGTCATTGAACATCTGGGCTTTTTCTTTGTTCTTGAGATGGTAAATAATCCTTTTATGAACATTGGTGTACAAGTCTCCACTTGAGCCTCAGTTCTCTCTTTCTTGGGGTATATTCCAAGCAGTGGAATAGCCGAGTTATATGGAATTTCTATGTTGAGCTTTTTTAAGAAGTGCCAAACTGCCTTCCAGAATAATTGTATCATTTTACAATCCCATCAACAATGTATAAAACTTCCTATCTTGTCACATCCTCTCCAACATTTATTACTTGCTATCCTGTTAAACTTTGCCACTGCTACTGGTTTTGATTTGCATCTCTCTTATTGCCAGTGATAGTGAGCATTTCTTCATGTGTCTGTTTGCCACTCAAATATCTTCGTCTGTGAAAATTTTTTCCATGTCTTTTGTCCATTTTGTAATTGGTTTCTCAGTCTTTTTCTTGTGGAGGCCCAGGAGTAGTTTGTAAACTTTTGTTATAAGACTCTTGTCTGAGGTGGTATTGCCAAATGTTTGTTTCCATATGGTAGGTTTTCTTTTCATCCTGTTGGAAAAAAGTTTTTATGTGCACAGGGATTTAATCTTTAGAAGTTCCCATTCGTCAATTTTATCCTCTTCAGATTGTGCATTTCTGGCTGTATTTGGCAGTCGCTTTACACCATAGACTAGGCCTTCTTCACTTGATCCCAGTTTGTCTCTTATGAACTTTATGGCTTTGGGCGTTACTCCCAGGTCTCCGATCCACCTTTAGTTGCTTTTTGTGTATGGTGTGACATGTGGATCCTGTTTCAGCTTTCTGCAGGTGGCAGTCCAGTTTTGCCAGCACCATTTGTTGAAAAAGTTGTCATTTCCACATTTGATAGGTTTGATTTCCTTGTTGAATATCAGTTGACCCTAAATGTTGTTTTTGTTGTTGATTGCCATCAAGTTGAGCATGACTCATAGTAACCCTATGAACAAAAGACCTGAAGCCTTTCTATAGCTATCGTAATTTCCCAAAGTTCATAGAGTTTCCAAAGGCATGTTGTTTAGGAAGTGGATGCCACTCTTGCTTCCAAACCTGCCTTAAACTGGGAGCTCCACCAAACACTGTCCACCATGGGCAATCATTATGGCATCTGACACCCCATTGGCACAAGGTTCAGCAACACAGCAACCCCAGGTTAACTCAATACAGCACATTGACAGAAGAATGCTGTACCACTTAGAAGACTGTTCCTCTCAAATACTGACTTTTAAATACAAAGGCCCTCCCCGAGGTCTTACTGACTTTAAACAAAAGTTTAAATAAAAAATTAAAAAAAAACCAAACCCAATATAGTATATTGTTGTTGTTGTTTTGTGCCTTTGAGTTGCCTGCGACCTACAGTGATCCTATATACAGCAGCTCTGAAGCCTGCCCTGTCCTGAGCCAGTCTCCCTAATTCTGACACACCAACCCCCATTGCCCCAGTTACTGTATCAATCCATCTCATCCAGGGTCTCCCTCTCATGCACTGTCCCTCCACCCTTTCGAGCATGATATCCTTCTCCAAGGACTGGTCTCTCCTGGCCACGTGCCCAAAGTATGTGAGATGGAGCCCAAAATCCTAGCCTCCAAGGAAAGACTGGGTTTCACACTCTCCAAAATAGACCTGTTTGCTTTCTGGACAGTCCATGGTATGTTCAAGACTCTTCTCCAGCACCACAACTCGAAGGCATCGATTCTTCTTCAGTCTTCCTTAGTCATTGTCCAGCTCTCTGAAGCATAACAAGTAATTGTGAAGACCATGGCCTGGATTAGGCACACATTTGTCTCTATACTGACATTTTTGCTTTTCAGCATTCTAGAGAGGTCCCTGACAGCACACTTTCCCAGTGCAATTCATCTTTTGATTTCCTGACTGCTGGTGTTAAGAGTGTTGATTGTAGAGCAGAGCAAACTGTAATTGCTAACAACCTCAATCTCTTCTCCATCCACCATGGTGCTGCCAATTGTCTTAGTAGTGAGAATCTTTGTATTCTTGATGTTGAGCTTCGATCCATATTGAAAACTACACTCCTTGACCTTCTGCAGCAAGCGCTTCAAGTCTTCTTGAGTTTCAGCAAGCAGGATTGTGTCATCTATGTATGATAGGTTGTTGATGAGATAGCTGAGTCTGAGTTCTCAATTCTGTTCCATTGGTCTAAGTGCCTGTTGTTGTACCAATACCATGTTGTTTTGGTTACTACCACTGTGTTTTGAGGTCTACACTTTTAGATATTAAATATATTTTTTAAAAACTACTTTGCCATCTAGTCAGAATCAAGCCATAATGGACCCTCCAGTTCTTTCTTTTTTTTTTTTATATTGTCCAGTGGTTTTTCAGAGGCTATAAATCACAGGGGAGGAGAGTGTCCATATTTCTTCAGCAAAGCAGCTGGTGGATTGGAACCACCTGTGTTTGAGTTGGCAGTGAAATTCCCTACCTACTAGGCCACCAGAGCTCATTAGTTAAATATAAAAAACAACAAAAAGCTCTTCTACCAATCAATTATTCTTTCTTTCAAAGTACTTGCAATATAATTATGGATTCTTTTATGTATGCTTATATTAGATTTCTTTGATCCATTATTGATAAATTATTTTCTTTTACTTAAGCAGCTGCTTCAAGTTTGATTGCTAAGTATTGAGTTTCACTGTGTTCTTTCACCTGTCCTATACTTTCTCCTCTACCACTGTCTCTTCATACCTAATCCCCACTCTCCTTTTAAAAAGTATTTTATTTGAGGGAAAGTTTATAAATCACACTGGGTTTTCATTCAATTATTCATAGACATTTGGGTCTAGTGGATAAGAAGCTATGCTACCAACTCAAAGACACAGAATTTAAATCCACCAGCTGCTCCACACGAGAATGATAGGCAATCTCCTCCTATATGATTTACAGCCTCTGAAAAACCTTCTGGAGAAGTTATAAGTTATAAGTTGGTTCCAACTCGACAACACATATCAGCACCCACATTAATTACAAACCCTTACTTCATATTGCCTTGCCCTTCCCCAAGTTATCTTTTATTAAGTTTTACTCCCCTCTCACTCCCTTTTCATCCCAGCCAAGCTTCCAAAAATTTGGCCTAGATGGCTTCTAGCTGATTTCTACCAAATATTCAGAGATGAACTATCACCAATTCTACTCAAATTATTTCAAAAAATGAAAAAAGAAGGAGCACTCCTAGAGTCATTTTATGAAGCAAGCATAACCCTAATACCAAAACAGAGCAAAGACATTACCAAAGAAGAAAAATACAGACCAATATATCTCAAAAATATAGATGCAAAAGTCCAAAACAAAATCTTGACCAATAGAATGCGACATTATATATATAAAAAAAAAATTCATCAGGACGAAGTGCGATTCATATCATTTATGCAAGGATGGTTCAACATAAGAAAATCAATGTAATTCATTACATTAGCAAAGCAAAGAACAAGAACCACAGATTTGTAGACCAATGTTCATAGCATATTCACCACTCAAAAAATATGGAAACAAATGTCCAACCGCAACCAAATGTATTGAAAAATTGTGCTACAGGCACACAATGGAATACTATGCAACATTCAGGAGCAACTATTTTGAAAAATACTATGTAACTTTGGGGAGGCTGGAGAGCATTATGCTGAGGGAACTAATATAGTCTCATAAGGACAAATTCTGCATAAGACCATTATTGTAAAAATAAAAGGACAACTAGTAAAACATGTATGGGAACTCAAGGGGGGCAGAGGGGTGGAAGTGGAGGGGTGAGAATAGGTAGGGGCGAAACAACAGGGTTGCCCAGTTTAGGGAGGGGAGGGGCAAAGATAGGGAAACAATCCTGGTGAAAAGACAGGGTAATGATGGGCAAGGTCCAATCGTGATTGATTTTATGAAACATGGTTCATGAGAATGATTGTACTAAACACAGTGTGAATGAAGGATAGTGTGAAATGCAATGTATACTGAACTTTGTAAGCAAACAATTAATAATAATAATAATAATAAAAGAACCACGTGATCCTAGCAATTAATGCAGATTTCCCCCCCCTTAATAGTTTGGTCTGGGAAACTTGCATGGGGCGGGGGGAAATCTGGTCTGATGCTTATTATTATTCTACTTGTGAATTTATTTTAAACTACAGTCTCTATTTTTTCAATATTTATATGTTTGTTGAGATTTATTGTTCCTGAGTCAGTTGTATTTAGCACTATACATTTTAAGATAATTGACAATTTTCTAACTTACTGAAAGACTTCCCTTATAATCTTCAAGATTGTTAGCTCCATCCTCACTTTGATATATCCTTTACATTTTTCTCTCTCTTCATGACCTCATCCATTTTGTGAATGAAAAGATTGAAATTGTCTTTTTTCTACTATTTATCTTTGACAATGTAGTATATAACCACCATATCTTCTGCCAAATAGGCTTTTTGGAACAAGCATGGGAATTTAAACACCATTTGAAATATTCTTTCTACAGGTAAATGAATTTCAAATTCTAGACAAATTATTTAAGTGTTTTCTCAGTGAATCTTAGAAAGTAAAAAATTTTGAATATTTGAATGGAATAAACCACTATTTCTTTGGGATTGCAGCACAGCTTCTTGCCACTAGGCCACCAGAGCTCCTGAAAAACCTCTCTTTCTAATGAGAGATTTCTTAGAACTGTCAATTTCCAGTAAAATTTTCCAAAGTTTCCATTCTCTGTATAAAGTATATTTCCCAATCTTATCTCTACAGATTCCTCATTTTTGCCTTGTTATGTATATGTAAATAATAGCTCAGTAGTGTTTCTTTTTAAGGTATCCTCACCTGAGTCCCAAGTACAAGGAATCCTTTGATGTGGGCTGTAACCTCTTTGCCAAGTTTTCAGCATACATTAAGAATACACAAAAGGAAGCAAATAAGAGTAAGAAACTTTTCTTTAAGTATGTATTTTCTGACTTGCATATTCATTTTTATATTCTCAGTCAGCTAAAATATATTTTCTTGAAGATATAGTATAGGTTGGGGAATAGCCTACTCTCTACCCCCTGCATGTCTCCTCTGAAATTCCCATGCATGAAGTCTTATTAGATTTAGAAACCAAGATTCAACATGGAAATTGTCAAGGTAGCTCTATTAGAGCACTGGCCTGTCACCTTTAAAATTGTGTCATCTGTAACATCTATTATCTCCCATAAACCTCCTTGCACAGCTGATGAGACTGGCTCAGGATAGGGCAGGCTAAAAAACTATTGTATATAGGGTCACTATGAGTCACATATAACAACACAATAAAGTGAGGCATGTATGGAAGCTCTGGAGGCCTAGTGGTAAGAATCTGCTCTGCATTCGCAAAGGTGCACAGTTTGAATACACCAGCTGCTGCTCCTCGGAAGCTGGATGGGCAATCTCCTCCTCTCCCTCTTTACTGCCTCTTAAAACTCGCTGGAGGGTCACCTATGAGTCGATTTTGACTTGATGGTGCACGACAACAACAAGAAAGTGAGGCATGAGGGGAGCTCAGGTAACTTTGTGCCAGAGTTATGCTGTCACATGGTTAGAAACCACCAGCTGCTCTGCAGGAGATGATGGACAATCTCCTCCTTTACCTCTAAAAACCCACTGGAGGGTTCAGCTATGAGTTAGTCCTGACTCCATGGCACATAACAAACAACAAGCTGAGCCATGAGTCACTTCTTTCTCTTTAACTCTTCTCTCAATGTACTCACCCAAGAAAAACCCCAAAATATTTTTTATTCACCATTTGATTAAACAACATTTGACTCTCATTAGTGCACAGACCATTCTAAAAAGTTAGAAATTTCGATTTTGGAGAGCTAGTGTAGACAGTATGCACAGTCAGAGGTGCTTAAATATGTGAAAAGCAAAGTTAAGAATGTATTTATTTATGAAGACAAAACATTTATAAATGACCAATGATTTCAATGTCTCAGATTTTGAAAAATCTCTGCTCAGAGAATTTAAGCGTTTGGATGACTATTTAAACACCCCACTTCTGGATGAAATTGATCCAGACAATGCTGAAGAACTCACAGTTTCCAGAAGATTGTTCTTGGATGGAGATGAATTGACACTTGCTGACTGCAACCTGCTACCCAAACTGAATATTATTAAAGTAAGTTTTTTTTAATTCACAGATATTTGTTATCAAATACAAATTCTTTCCACAAAATAATTGCCTTATATCTCAGTATTGTGGCTTTTCTGTTTGTAATTTTCCTCTTTTTTTCTGAGTTTTTTTTCATTGTCTTGCATAAGATAATTAATATACACTGGTTTGCATTCATGTGCATTGCATTTTATACAGCCATTCACACAAATTGTGTTTCATTTATGTACATTGTGTTTTATACCATCATTCATATACATTGTATTTTATATATTTAATTACTATTGATCTATGCCCGATTTTTTTAAGGTAAAATAGTAAAGATAGCTTTATTAGAAAGTTGTGATTCCCAAAGGCACCGGACTGCTTCCTTGAAAGGAAATTAGCTAGTGAGGTGAGGCCCTGTTTATGGCCTCAATGGAGTCTGGGCCAATGAAATGATACCATGGAGAATTCAAAGTTTAGTAGGTGGGTCTCATTCTAGACCTTGTTCTCTGATGTCATTCATGTACCCTACGAGTCCACTGCCTCTGACATCACTCATGCGCCCAAAATACTATTTTTATGTGTGTCAATATCTGCTTTCCTGTCCCTGATGTAACTTTTGCCTCCCCCATATCATTGATTCTAATCCTAACACTCCCTCCTGGAGAGATCAAGATCAAAGAATCTTTTTTGAACATGACCACTCTCAATGCTTCATGCTGGATTAGGTGTTGTCCTGCCTACAGGAACAGTGAATCTCTCCATAGCCCTATTTCTGTAGGTCTCTAAATGCTTTGGCTACAGTGCCATGTAGGTTGACAGGCATAGGGTTAGGAGGCATGGAAGATACAAACTTTATTGGATTAAACAAGCAGGGTTCAAAAAAGTAGTAGCAGACAAATTATGACTGGCTACTTAAAAATGAACAACTATTAGGCTTGATTTCAGATTTATGATTAAGAGGTTTAAGAATTAGGAGCTTACTGATTGGAAAGGTTTGGTTTGTTAGTGATTTTGAATTTATAAAAATTTATCCTTGGTTATTAACTGAAAAGGGTAGCAATAAGGTAGGAGACTTTTAGTGTAGAGAATTTACTATTAAAGATTGTTGTTGTTGTTATGTGCCGTCAAGTCGTTTGCGACTCATAGGGACCCTATGTACAACAGCCCTAAATTGTGCTCTATCCCGTGCCAATCTCATTGCCTCTGACATACCCATCCTGATTACCCCAGTCACTGAATCAATCCACCTCATAGAGGGTCTTCCCCTCCTGCGCTGTCCCTCTACTCTACCCAGCATGATGTCCCTCTCTAAAGACCTGTCTCTCCTTACAACATGTCCAAAGTATGTCAGGCAAAGCCCCAGAACCCTTGCCTCCAAGGAGCAGCCTGGTTTAATCCTCTCTAGGATGAATCTGTTTTCTTGGCAGTCCATGGTACATTCAATACTCTTCTCCAGCACCACAGCTCAAAGGCATCAATTCTCCTTCTATCCTCCCTAGTCATTGTCCAACTCTCTGACGCATAACAAGTGATTGCAAAAACCACGGCCTGTATCAGGTGCACCTTAGTCTCCAGAAAGACACCGTTGCTCTTGAGTACTTTAGACAGGTCCCTAACCGCAGACTTTCCCATCGCAATACGTTTTTTGATTTCCTGGCTACTGGTGCCAAGAGTGTTGACCGTGGAGCCGAGCAAACTGAAGCTGTGAACACTCTCAATCTCTTCGCCATCCATCCTGATGCTACCGATTGGTCCGGTGGTGAGAATTTTTGTCTTCTTGACATTGAGCCTCAGTCCATACTGAAGGCTGCAGTCCCTGACCCTCTGCAGTAAGTGCATAGGTCCTCCTCAGTTTCAGCGAGCAAAGTTGTGTCATCTGCATAACGCAGATTGTTGATAGATCGTCTACCAATCCTAACGCCACACTTCTCCTCATAGAGCCCAGCCTCTCGGATAATCTGCTCTGCATACAGGTTGAAAAGGTATGGAGATATGACACATCCCTGGCATAAAGAATATTAAAAGAAGTAAGCTAAAGCGTAGGGCAAGAGAGTCTTTACTCATCTGGCTTGTGTTGAGAGTAGGCTTTCTCTTTTTTTGTTGTTGTTAAGTGCCATTGAGCCATAGACGACTCAGCGATCCTATGAATGAAAGACCTGAACACGTGTATAACTTTCATCATTTCTCCAAGTTCATAGAGTTTCTGGAGGCAAGCTATTACGGAAGTGAATGCCACTCCTGCTTCCAAGCTTGTTTTAATCGGGGAGCTCCACCAAACACTGTCCACCATGGGTGGGTGACCATTATTGCATTTGACACATCAGTGTCACAGTGTTCAGCATCACTGCAACCATGAATTACCTCTGTGCAGCAAGTGGACAGACCAGTGCTAGACCACTTTAGAAGAATGTTTGACCAAAAACAATTAAAACCAGGCTTGCGGGCCGCAGATTAAAATCACACACCTTTGCCTTGGTAGCATCACTTTCTGTCCACTAGGCCCACAGAGCTCTCTTTATGTTGTTTTGTTGTTGTTGTTGTTGTTGTTGTTGTTAAGTGCTATTGAGTTGTAGACGACTCATAGTGACCCTATGAACGAAAGACCTGAACACTTGTGTAACTTTCATAAGATTCAATCTTAATGAGTTTAGTTGGTTAACATTGTTTTCTGGTAGAAAGACAAAGCTTGAGCCTCTATTGTTTTGTTGAGCCAACCATCTGTTTTGACTATGAGACATGAAGCTTGGGACAAGTGGCTGTCATAGACCTTAAGTGCGTGGCTCTTATTTGTTTAAATTAAACATCATTACTTTACTGACCACATCTAGAGTCACTCGTATAAGGCTCTGGGTGTGCAATATCAGTGGTGTAAGTGGGAGCTGCTACAGAGCCTAGGCCCTTTTAGTCTTTTTTTTTGCTTTTCCTGCCAGAAAGGTTTGATGACTTCCAAAGCGCTCCCTTCAGAACACAGGGCAATCACATGCCCAATGCCCAAACTCAATTAAAAACTCAATTAAATCAGGAAACATGGTTTTATGGGAAGCTTTCACTGGTATGTTTAGCTCACCCTGGATGGGCACTTATTGTAGTACCATGGTGACCTATGCCTTTTATCACCCCCATCTCATCAAGTCCCCATTATAACTAGCCTATTCCTTCACCACCACCCCTGTCCACTATCCTCTGCTGTCCTAGTGATTTTCCCTCATCTCCTTTCTTTCATCATCCTTCTTCTCCTCTCTCTGCTCTTTTGCCCCTTTTGAACAGTTAAACATTTCTTGTTTTTATTTGCTAATTGCAATAGCTGTCCTGTCCTTATACCAGTTCTTCCCGGGTTGATCCTCCCTTGACTTGATCCTTTGCAGTGTTCATTGTACATTGTCTTTCTGCTCCCCTGATTGCTTTACCCTCCTAGTTACTCTACTCTTTTTTGGAGTAATAGTCTCATGCAGTATTTGTCCTTTTGTGACCAAGATATTTCACTTAGCATAATGCTCTCTAGTCTTTCCCATGTTGTGTAGTATTCTGCATATTCTTGGTTGTTCTTTAGTGTTGCATAGTATTCCTTGGAATGACTATACCAGTTTCTCTATCCATTTGTTGATGGGCATTTGGGCTGTTTCCTTATTCTTGCTATTGTGACTAGTGCTATGATGAACATAGGCATACAAATGTCTGTTCATGTCTTAGCTCTGATTTCCTTGGGGTATGTTCCTAGTAGTGGAATAGCTGCATACTGCCATCCATAGCAGTTGTACTATTTTATGGTCCCACTAGCAGTACATATGAGCTCTAATCTCTCCACATCCTTGCCAAGATTTATTGTTTGCTGACCTGCTCAACTTTGCTATTGCTATTAAGGTGAGGGGGTATCTCGTTATTGTGTTAATTAGCATCTCTGCTAGTTATTTTGAACATTTCCATATATGTTTGTTGGTCATCTGCAAATTTCAGTTGTGAGTCAGTCCCTTGCCTGAAATATTATTGCCAACTTTTTTCCCCAGTCTATGGGCTTTTTTTTCCCCCACCTTGTTGGAAAAGTTTTTTATGCATACAGGGATTTGATTTTAGAAGACCCCATTCATTGCATTCATTGATTTTTATCCTCTCCTTTTTATGCTTTTTTTACTATGTTTGCAAGCCTATTCATATTGACTTGTTGTGTATTGTCGAGTTGGAACCAGCCTACAACTGAACCCCCAGCAGGTGTTCATAGGCAGTAAATTGCACAGGAGGAGCCATCTTTCTTCCTTAGAATAGCTGGGAGATTAGAACTGTATGCCTTCAGATGAGCAGCATATTTCTTTACCATTAGGCCTCCAGACCTCCCTATGCCATAGATTGTGTAGTTGTGTACCGTAGAGTTGGAACCAACCCATAGCTGACCCTCCAGTAGGTTTTCAGAGGTAGTTAATCGCATGAAAGGAGATTTCCCATGTCATAGATTAGGGCTACTAGATATTTTTTCTATTCTTTCTGTGCTGATCTTAATGATTTTTTTAAATTTTACCCTATGATCCACTTTGAGTTGGTTTTTTTGTGTGTGTGTATGCAGTGAGATTTGAATCTGTTTCTGTTTTTTGCAGGTAGCTTTCCAGTTTTGCCAGTACCATTTTTTGAAGAGGTTAACATTTCCCCACTTAATGGGTTTTGTTTCCTTGCCAAATATCAACTGATGTATGTACATGAGTTTATTTCTGGGTTATCAACACTTTTCCACTAATCTATGGGCTAGTCATTTTACCAATACCATGTTGTTTTAATTTGTACAGCTGTGTAGTGTAGTAAGTTTTGAGATCAGGGAGTGTGATGACTCCTACTTTGTTTTAATTTTTCAGAATAGCTTTGCTTATCTGTGGTCCTTTCCAAAGGAAAATAGAAATTGTCTTTTCTATCTCCTTGAAGAATGAGTTTGGTATCTGTATTGGGACTGTATTGAACCTGTAGATGGTTTTTGGTAAGACTATCATTTTCACAATGTTCAGTCTTTCAGTCAAGGAACAGGAGATATATATATATATATAGATATAGATAGATATATATACACACACACATACATACTGGATTGATCTACTAGGTCTAGCAGGGGTTTTGTTGGTTCTTTAGAGTTTTCTATATATACTATCATATATTGGCCAGGATTTTATTAGGGATTTTTGTATCGATGTTCATGAGAGATATTTGTCTACAGTTGTGTTTTTTTTTTTCGAATGTCTTTGCCTGGTTTTAATATCAGAGTTATGCTTGTATCACAGGATGACTCTGGGAGTATTCCTTCTTTTCCTTTATTTTTAAATAATTTAAGCACAATTAGTGACAGTTGATCTCTGGATGTTTAGTAAAATTCACCTGTGAAGCTGTCTGGGTCAGGACATTTTTTAGTTGGGGATATTTTTTTTATCTGCCCAATTTCTTCTTTTGTAATAAATTTTTTATAAGGCAGGCTGAATGTTTTTGCGAGAGACTTTTGGTACAGTATAGGTAAAGTATAATGACTTTGAAGTATGCCATCATCACTAACCAGAATGTACCACTTTTTGCTCCTCGAGATTCATGATTACTTTCTCTGGGAAATAAAATACTTTCTTATTTCTTTATCCATAAATTTGAAGGGCACTAAATAAGCTCTTAGACTATTATAGAAGATATATGCTTTTCTATGCTCCTTTCCTCTAAACATATTCATAATTAAAGTATCAATATACGATAGAATTGAGAGCATGTAGCTTTTTCTATAATGATAGACAAAACATTAAAATAGTAAATCCAAGATACTTTAAGAAAATGTACTTTATTTTATACTGCTTTTTTAGTAGATAAGTTATCTTCATGGGTTTTTACTTTTAAGGCATGGTTGCATATACTAGGCATATTATGCTTTCTTTACTAGTAACTGACTTTTCCCCTCTTTTCCAAAACACAAGATTGCTGCCAAAAAATACCGTGATTTTGACATTCCAGCAGAATTCTCAGGAGTCTGGAGATATCTCCACAATGCCTATGCCCGGGAAGAATTTACCCACACATGTCCTGAAGCCAAAGAAATTGAAAACACCTATGCAAGTGTGGCTAAACAGAAGACTTAAGACAGGTCTTCAAGTAGGAAGAGTCCACTTTGTTATCCGATTTCAATTTTTATGATATTGGGAATGTTTTGGGTAACAAAATTATGAGGAATACTATTCTTTCTATCTTACACTCATTAAAAAGAACTCTATTTTCCAGTTAGCTACAAGCAACCTGTGCACTGTGTACTTTACAAATCATCATACTTCCAACTTCATTTCTTTATACTCATAGCATAAATCTTGAGTGGTATGTAAAAGATCAAGATGTTTGGCTTTTTGCTTGAATTCCTAGAATGCATTGTATATAAGCTAACTAGATGTCTGACGTTTCAGATTATATATACGGTATTTTTCCCCACAAGTAGTATGTACTCACAAATATAACTCTTGGAAATTATGAAATTAAGTAAAATAGTTTGAGCATATCTTGCTTATGCACTGCTATGCATGCCTCTGACATTTCCTGAAGTGAATTTCAACCTTATTCTCTCATGGGCCTGTATTATACGTACTGTTCATGTTTTTAAATCTCTTGCTAATGTGCATAAAAGTAATAAAAACCCATGTAACTTTTGTAGTTCTTCATTAATTCATACTCTGTAGTTTCAACATGGCTTCTTACTGCTCTATTCATGAGAATGATAATATTTTAACAGGAAATTACAAAATCAATATTATATTAGTTATCTAGTGCTGCTAGTGAACAGTATCACTAGTATCACACACAAGCAAAATCATGCTGGAAAATTTTACAAAAACAACTGGAACAATACATTGACAGAGAACGACCAGAAATGTAGGTCAGATTTAGAAGAGACTGTGGCACAGGGACATTATCACCAATGTCAATTGGATCTTGACTGAAAGCAGAGAGTACCACAAGAATGTCTATCTGTGTTTCATTGGCTATGCAGAGGCATTCAGCTGTGTGAATCACAACCAATTGTGGCTAACCTTGACAAGAAGGAGAATCCCAAAACATTTGATTGTGCTCAGGTGAAACCTACACTTTTGGACCAGGAAGCAGTTGTCAGAACACAGCAAAGAAATACTACATGGTTCAAAAATCTGGAAAGGAGTGCATCAGGGATGCATCCTGTCTCCATACCTTTTCAATCTACATGTGGAACAGATCATTTGGGAGGCTGGACTTTCTGAGGAGAAATGTCGCATCAAGATTGGAGGAAGACTCACCAACAACCCGTGTGATGCAGATGGCACAACCTTGCTTGCCAAAACTGAGGAGGACCTGAAACATTTGCTGCAGAGGGTCAAGGACCTGGACTTCAGTCATCATATGGATAGAAGCTCAACATCAAGAAGACAAAGAATCTCACCACTGAGCCAATTGGCAGCACCATGATAAATTGAGAAGAGATTGAGGTTGTTAACAATTTCAGCTTGCACAATCAGCACTCTTGGCACCAGCAGTCAGGAAATAGAAAGATGAACTGCATGGTCTTTCCAATTACTTGCTCTGCATCAGAAAGCTGGACAATGACTAAGGATAACAGGGGGGGAAAATGATGCCTTGTAGTGCTGGAGAAGAATGCTGTATATAACCTGGGCTGCCAAGAGAACTAACAAGTCTGTCTGTCCTAGAGAGGGTGAAACCAGGTTGCTCCTTGGAGGCAAGGATTTTGAGACTCCATCTCACATACTTTGGGCATGCCGTCAGGAGGGACCAGTCCCTGGAGAAGGATGTCATGCTTAGAATGGTAGAGGGTTGGCGCAGGAGAGAAAAAGCCTGGAAGAGATGGGCTAACATATTAACTTGGGAATAGGGGTAAGTATGTCAGAGACAGTGAGACTGTCTCAGGATAGGGCAGGCTTCAAAGCTATTATACATAGGGTTGCTATGAATTTCAGGTGACTCAACGGCACATGAAAACAAGTACTGCTATTAAGGAAATATCTCAAGTGGATGACTCGAGTAAATGGAAATTTACTCTCTCACAGTTCAGGAGGCTAGAGGTCCAAATTCAGAGTACTGCCTCTAGGGGAAATCTTGCTTTCTATTGACTCTGAGAGTAAGTCCTTGTTTTCTTTCAATTATCTGTAAGCCTGATGTTCCTTGGAAATGTACATGTGTCTTGACATCCATCTCCCTAGAGTCTAGGAGATTCTCAGCTAAAGGACTCTAGAATCAAAGGATACACACCAGTTCCCTCTCTGCTCACATCTCTCCTTTGGTCTTTTGTAAAATAAAAAGTGTGGCTTAAATATGGGTGTGACTTACTAATCCACACTCTCTTATAAGGCTATGACTCAAGATAAACTTTATATTAATCCTGGCTCATTATCTTATAGAAATTAGGATTTACAACACATCACAAAATAGAGAACCACCACAAAATATTGGGAATCATGTCCTAGTCAGGTTGGTACAAACTGTGGAAGGTAAGGGAAAACACACACAACTCAGTCTATGAAAATATCTACCTTTTATGAAGTTTCCATATGATCAGAAGCAGAAACTGAAGTTTTTACATGTTAAAAAATATTGTCATACATACATACATACATACATACTCTGGGCCACCATATAGTTACCACAACATAATATTTACTAAGGAAAGACTCACATAATGTCAATAAAGCAGCAGTCTGCCTCAGTTGTCGTTGTTGTTGTTGTTATGTGCCACCGAGTCAACTGTGACTCATAGCGACCCTATCTATAACAGCCCTAAACCCCGCTCTATCCCCTGCCAAGCTTCTTGTCTCTGACACACCTATCCCCATTACCCCAGACACTGAATCAATCCATCTCATCGAGGATCTTCCCCTCCTGCGCTGTCCCTCCACCCTCCCAAGCATGATGTCCCTCTCCAAAGTCTGATCCCTCCTTGCAACATGTCCAAAGTATGTCAGACGAAGCCTCAGAATCCTTGCCTCCAAGGAGCAGCCTGGTTTCACCCTCTCCAGGAAGAACTTGTTTGTTCTCCTAGCAGTCCATGGTATATTCAATAATCTTCTCCAGCACAGTAGCTCAAAGGCCTCAACTCTCCTTCAGTCATCCCTCGTCATTGTCCAGCTCTCTGATGCATAGCAAGTAATTGCAAAGACCATGGCCTGTCCTTCAATCATCCCTAGTCATTGTCCAGCTCTCTAATGCACAGCAAGTAGTTGCAAAGACCAAGGCCTGTATCAGGTGGACCTTAGTTTCCAGACTGACATCGTTGCTCTTCAGTACCCTGGAGAGGTCTCTGACAGCAGACTTTACCAATGCAATTCATCTTTTAATTTCCTGGCTCCTGGTACTAAGAGTGTTGATTGTAGAAGCAAACAAACGGAAGCTGTCAACAATCTCAATCTCTTCTCTGTCTACCATGATGCTGTCAATTGGCCCAGTGGTGAAAGTCTTTGTTTTCTTGATGTTGGGCTTCAATCCATATTGAAACCTGCAGTCCTTGACCTGCAGCAAGCACTTCAAGTCCTCCTTTATTTAAGCAAGCAGGGTTGTGTCATCTGCATAATGCAAATCGCTGATGAGTCTACCTCCAATCCTGATGCCACACTTCTCTGCATGCCCAGCCTCCTGGATAATCTGTTCCACATATAGATTGAAAAGATATCAAGATAAGACACATCCTTGATGCATACACTCCCCAGTTTTGAACCATGCAGTGTTTCCTTGCTCTGTTCTGATGACTGCCTCCAGGGCCAAGTATAGGTTTCCCATAAGCACAATCAAGTGTTCTGGGATAGTCAGCCACAGTTTGTTGTGATCCACACAGTCAAATGCCTTTGCATAGTCAATGAAACACAGATAGATATTTCTCTGGTACTCTGGTTTCAGCCAAGATCCATCTAACATTAGCTATAATACCCCTAGAGTCACGGCCTCTTTTAAAACCAGCCTTCCCTCCAGGCAGTTCTCTGTTGATATGCTGTTCCAATCCTTTTTGGATAATCTTCAGCAGAATCTTGCTTGCATGTGATATCAGTAATATGGTTTGATAGTTTCCACACTCTGTCAGACCACCGTTTTTTTTTATAGGAATAAATATGAATCTCTTGAAGTCAGTTGGCCAGGTAGTTGTCCTCCAGATTTCTTAGCTCAACTTGGTGAGCACATCCAGGGCAGCATCTATTTGTTGAAATATGTCAATTGGTATACCATCAATTCCTGGGAACTTGTTTTTTGTCATTTCTTTCAGAGCAGCTTGAACTTCTTCCTTCATCACCACAGGCTCTTGCTCATACGCTGTTTGATGAAATTCTGTGTCCACCAATTCCTTTTGGTACAATGAATTTGTATACCCTTTCCATCTTCTTTTAATGCTTCCTGGATCATCTAATATTCTGCCCAAAGCATCCTTAAATATTGCAACTCGAGGTTTGAATTTGTTGTTCAGTTCCTTGAGCTTAAGAAATGCTGAGCAAGTTCAGCCCTTTTGATTTTCTGACTCCAGCTCCTTGCACATTTCATTCTAATATTTTACTTTGTCTTCCAATGCTGCCCTCTGGAATCTTCTATTCAGCTCCTTAATATCTTGATTTCTTCCCTTTGACTAGGCTTCTTGTCACTCCAGTGCAATAAAAACCAAAATAATCCTTCTTCTAATATAGCAGACCCAATGAATAACCCACATAGAGAGAACCAGAAGAAATATGTTGATGTGGAGTTACTTGAACAGCTACAGATGAAGACGCAAATGATGGAAGAAACAAAGGAAACCATTAAGGGAGCAAATGCCTCAGAGCCAACAATTCAGAAAGAATATATTGATGAGGAGGAACTTGAACAGCTATGGAAGAAAATACAAAAGATCGAAGAAAGATTTGATAATATAGATAAAGAGAACGGGAAAAAATCATCACAAGACAGAGAGGGTACAGCCAATGCAGTACAGAAAATAACAGAAAAGCATGAAAATTCAATCCAGAATATTAAGACCAAAATGGCAGAGGTGTCAAAAAAAAAACTGGTAGGACAAATCAGTAGAAATGAAGAGATGGAACAAAGAATCAGTGAAGACAAGAGCCTCATTAGAAACATACAAGAAAACAAATCA